ATGGAAATATTACCCTGAAACTCATATTACAGATGAGCCTGAGAGCATTTATCTTATTTGAGGTAGAAGTAGAACTTCTGATGATCAGCTCAGTTTTCTTTCTCCTGTGCCATATTCTTTTTGTACTTCATCTAATTCTTATACACCTGTAAATAAAAAGTTGTTTAATACTCATTCTTTTCTGAGCCATAGAGGATATTAATTCCATTCATTACAATATAGAGAAACATTATAATCAAAGAAAAATCAATTTTCCACTTAATTATTTCTCTAGCTGAAAAATTTCTGTGAGGTCTGGTACACAGTGACCTCAGTAATCTGGTAGCCAACAAATCTTGACAATTTGATATTGAAGACCATGGTAATAACTTTCTAATCTGTTCTCTTGACTCCTTTGTGAGCTTGAGTAATTCAAGAGGAAGAAGCAGCTTTACTTAAGTTAGAATTTATCTTATTTTTTCCTTCATGATAAATTTTACAGATACATTAAATGGAACAATAGGAGATAGGCAGAAGAACTGAGTCACTCACAGCATTAGCTGGTTAATAAAAATTGTTTTTATGTCCTTCAATTTACTAAATCAAAGCCACTATAATTTATATGGTGAAAGATATGATTCCTTTAATTTTTCTTTTATGTTTTATAATATTCTCCTTCAAATTTCTTCAGATCTTTACTGAGATTTCAACTGTTTTACTATTCAATTAAAATTATTCCTCTAGCTTAATTGTCACTTCCCATATTAAAGCCTTCATGTAGTTATCTTCAGCTTTTATGAGAATTACATATGATTCTGGCAAATTGCTCATCATGTGTCCGTAAATCCTTAATAGTATATATAGATAGCCCTCCTTATGTTTCGTACTCATTTTTTTTGCTTTGTCAGGCCATGTAGGATATAAATTCCATTCATTACATTATAAAGGAGCATTAAGAACAAAGAAAAATATCTATTTTCCACTTACAAAACTTACTTGCTTTTATTAACTATATGTATGCTAATGTTACTTTTATAATGATGTATAAGATGTGTGGATCTACTTTATTCTGTTGAAATTTTGCTTTCAAGTTTTTCCCTTCAGAATTTTTAACAATTCTTAAATTATTATGTTAATATGTAAATTTTAAAAGTAGTATTAAAAAGGATTACAGAGATGTATATACCAGAATTCTGGACAAATCCTGAGCTAAATTCTAAAAACCTGGCAGAACAAGTTAAAAATATATGTATCTTTACAATTAATTAATTGGAGAAAGCAAAAACGATGGTAAAAGCAAGAGTGAAAAAGAAAAATAATTCTGAGACAAGTAGATGGGCGAGATGATAAAGGAAGAGACCTTTTCCGTTGACTTTTCCTGTGAAAGTAGCTCCTTCAACTATGAACATAGCACCACATAGTAAAGGGACAGTCCGTATTCCCAGAAGCATTCATCTCTACTTTTAAAAAAAGCAAATAAGCCTTCATATTAGGTAAAGGCAGGTTGTGAATGAAATGCAAGAAGCCATTATGTAAAAGGAATGTCCTAGAGTTATTTCTGAAAAGGCATTGGTAGATGTCTATTTTCAAAGAGCACCAAGCCTTATAATCTTTAACCATAGACCTTGGGATCCAAGAACTAAACCAATTCAGGCATTCTATGTCAGAAATACAGTGTGCTATGTTTATAGCAGGAAAGAAAGCTTTTGTTGGCTAAAACCAAATACTTGACTTTCTCAATTTTAACACGTATACCTAATTAAATAAGAGGTGAACTGCAAAGATAGTTACATATTCTCCTTCACAGTAGCTCTTAGAAAAACCTCTCATTTCTACACACTTTACAAAAATTATTTGCTGTATGCTTAAATGATGGAGGTTGTCCAACATCTTCCAAGTACAAGGAAGAGGATGTAATGGACAGTATGGGGCAGTTTCAGAGATTTAGAAAGTAACAGGTTAATGTGAGTATCTTTATAGACAGGCATTTTGGAGGAAATAAATGTACTTTGGGGAAAGTGGGAAGGTGATTTACTCACATTGGGTCAAGTGAAAGAAGCATAAAATTATCTCTCAGAAGGGCTGGGTGGTAGCTCTGTGATAGAGTACATGAAAGCTTGAGACTCTTTTATCCCTAGCATTCCCCCCACACCAAAAAAAAAAAAAAAAACAAAATGCTTTGTAATATTTAGTTCAGTGTAGATTGGTTGGAAAGCTTATGATTGAAAATGAAATTGGGAATAATTTCAGTGGAAATTATATTGATATTTCTTAGCACTTTCAGATGGGCTGGGATGAACTATTCTTGGTTTTTATGACTGGACAAATGATTCCAGTATATACTACTTGACTGGTGGTATAATCCAAGCTGAAAATGTCAACCTAATGCTACATGATTCTACTTCAGAATAAAACAGTACCTGGACAAAAAAAAAAAAAAAAAAAGTCTATGCTTGGGATAAGACCCTTGAAGTGCCTATTAGTAAAAATGTACATTAAAAATCGCTTGTAGCTATGGATCATTAGGCTTTAAGCCTAATATCAGATTACTTTCTTGAGTATTATGTCATTGTTCTCTGCTATTTATATCCTTCAGAATATTCCTTCAGAATTGCTATAAATTACAGCTTTTGTACCAGTCTGATAGATTTATATGGATAATTATCATTATACATAGCACCATGTCCATGATCATCTTTAAACCCATTTTTTTTCATTCTTACAATTTTGAATTCTATTTAATTTGAAACCCATAATTACTTCTACCTGGAGTGATCCTTTTCTGATTTTCATTATTTTAATCTTATTTTTATAAATTCTTGAACATTTATGCCCCCATATTTTCTCAGTATTTCACACTACAGAATTTGTTTCATCTTGATATATGTACACCGCTAAAGGCATAAAAAGCTATTTTAAATATATATATTTACATCCTATTTCTGTAAATCTTCCCTAAGTTTTAGTATTAATGGTGTATTCTACAGCAGCATTATGTTTTATACCATTACTAAAACCTCCCAAATTCCTTTGTTTCAATAAACAAACTTTCCTTGCTTGTGTGTCTCCTTGAACAAATTGTGTGAGTTTTCTAACCTTACATTTTCTTGTTTGTAAATTGGAGATGACTTCACTACCTCATTCTGTGTACCTGAGAGAATGCATATAGATCACTGTTGCTTGCTACATAGTATTAATTAATGTTTGATGTTAATTATCATTAATTTTGATATAATTATTTCAGATGTATTTAATCTACTTTTTTCTAAACAGGGCTTTAAAAAAACACACTAAACATTAAGTAGCTTTGTTTCATATTTGCATAATTCAGTTGAGTGAAGCAGTTTTTCCCTGAACCTTTTGATGAACTTAATTGGACTCCAGAGGCCCTTGATATTACCAATGAAATATAAGGTTTCTTATGAATTTTATCTAATTACCATCTGAGTTATATTGAGAAATTTTGCATGTTGAATAAAAATTGTTTTAGTTCTTGCCCTATTTTCTAAGAGCAAAGTGCTAATAAGGATACCTGATAGTCTTTACTTACTAGTAATTACCTTCTCTGTATTTCCCCCTGGCACCCTTACAAATTTTCTTCAGAAGACTTCTATGACATATATCTCTACTAACTGTCCTTTTGATGCCTAATCACCTCAAGATTATTTAACTGTTTTACATAGTGTGGTATAAGGCAGGAATAATAATAATTGAGTTCAAGTTTGTTTAATTTGGTATATTAGTAGCTGAAAGCTCTGGTTCTTCAGTTAGACAAATCTGAGTGTGCATCTTGGATCTTAACTTTAGGACTTCTGAGTTTTGTTTTTCCTCCGTTCTAAAATAGTGTTTTTCTGGTGTTAGAGACAGTTTCACTTGTTAGAGTAGTCTGTTATTTCTCTCTCTTTTGCAGTATATTTAACTTTCTTGAGCCTCTTTCTTCATCTGTAAACTTCATATAATATTTACCTCAGAATTTTAAGGGGATAAATTTATAGCCACTGAAATACAGTGGGTTCTCAATACAAATTAATTATGTCATCCACATCTCTCCCTGTACCAGCCATTTTAGCACTAATTATTCATAGCACTTTATACCAATTTACATTTTTTATTGTTTTCATGCACAACTGCTTCATGTGTTTAATTTCTTTCTAGAACACTGTAAGGCCTTTGGGAAAGATTCCTTGACAAATAAACCTTTTTTATATCTACAAAGTGCTATGCACATAGTAGGTGCTCATCCTATACTTGTTAATTCATTGTTTACTTAAAGATGTTAATTCTTATTGACTTCCAATAAGTGCAAAGTATCTATTAAATAGAGTGAAGAGCGCTGGTTTGCCAAATTGCATGACTTCAGGACATGCAATCCATATTGAATGGCACCCTCTAGAGTTGTGAGGTGATCCACACAACTAAAGGCATGTGTGGAAAGATAGCTCAATCAGGTTTCTGGAATAACTATCTTACAAGTAAAAAAGCAGAATGCAGTTTAATTAAACGTACAGTAGACACAGTCTCTCCTCTTATCTTATCATGAACTATAAGTATCGTTATACCTTTGGTTATTTTGCAAGGTAATTGATAATAGAAATGAAAGGCATTCTTAAAAATTCTGGGTAAAATACAATAGTGAATGAACAAGCATAACAAGGCCAAAAATTCTCAGGATGTACAGTGTATAGCAACGTAACATTTATCTGTACATCTTGTATGTACCTTTCATCTATAGAGAAATAAAATAGAAAAATATAGAAATAAATGTGGTGATCAGACCACAACACAATGTATGTCATTGACAAGAATTTTGCCATATTGCCTTTCTCATGCCGAGTCCATAAAAGGTCCAAAGATGTAGATGTGGTTTAGAAAAAGTGGGAGTGCTATAAAGGCACCATCTTGTATCTTATCTAGATAAAGAATACAGTGCTAAATCTTGTGATAATAATGTACAAATGGAAATTGAATCTTAAGGATTATTTTTTCCATATTGTTGTATTTCATTGTGGTGTATTGGAAAGTGATCTGGACTTTGAGTGAGAAGATCTGATTTGGACCATGGCACTTAAAAACTATAATCCCAGGCAAGTCTTTTAATCTTCTCTGAGCCTCAGTTTTCCTCATCTTTTAAATAAAGACCATATTTTATCTCATAAGTAAGACAAGTTATAGTAAATTTCTGTTTTACAAATGTAAGATAATTGTGAGACTCCTATAATTACAGTCTTATGCTGTTATACTTTGTTGCTACAGGGATAAATCTTCAGTATAAATTTCTACCAGTAGACTTTGACCCCTGGAATTAACCATTTTTGTAAATATCCAAACAAATCCCCTCCACCTCAAAATGTACTTCTCTTTGTTATCAATTTGGAGAAGAAATGAAAACCTAGATCAATGAAAATGTGCTTAATTCTGCATAGGTAAAATAGTCAAATCTCTTTTCCCCTTAACAATATAAATAATATATACAAGATTAATAAAGCAAAACAAATCCTCCACACAGTTAACTTAATTACTCTTTTGTAAAACCAACATTTGATCATTTCAGATATAGATAATAGGAAATTCTACATTAACTTAAGTTTTGTAGAAAGTTGAAACCAATTTGATTCGACACCGCATATCCTAATTCCAGCATAAGAAACAGTCTGAGTTAACATGTACACAGAGGTGCTCTAGGGGACTGTTTCTGTTGGGGAAATTTAGCTCATTTACTCTGGCAGAAACAGCAACATTCTGCATCCCACTGGAAGCAGGGAAGGAATAGAAAGTTCCTGTCATGCAAATGTGTTGTTTTTCATCTATCCCTTGCCCTACATGCTAGCTTTATTGTCCCCCACCCCACCCAAACCTAGTGTCCATGTTTCTTGCCATTCTTAACTATTAATAGTCATGTAGTCACAACTCCAGTGTGCCTCTCTTCAGGCTGCATGGAGAACTGGCCTTAGCAATAGGCTTGACGGCTATTATCCCGTATTACTTGTAGAAAGGTTTCCATTTTCAAAAATCTCTTTTCTTGCTAATAAAGGTCTGAATTTCTGTAGGCCTTTTCAAAAGACCGTTTATTTCAGACTTGAAGACTTTTCTGGGTTCAGGAATCTTCTATTATAGAGAAAAGAGCCCCAGGACTTTTGACTAAAGAGATCTGCCTAACAGCTCTAATGTACTGCTCCCTAGCATTCCCATTTAACACTTATAAATGTGAAGATTAAAAAAAAATTACAAGTTGAGTTGCACTAATCATTGGCCAATGAAACAGGAGTGAAAATTCAACCAGTGACCTGTGAAGAAATGAGGCCTTTCTTTCTGCACCCCTCCCTTTTTGAATACAAAATCTGAACAGCTGTTTCTTTCACCACCTAAGTGATTTCTGGACAGAGTGCCTTTATGTAACCACTGGATCTCCCTGATTCCTTCCCCCAGTTTGAGACAGAAGGTAAGAGCAGTGCACAAGAAAATTATGGGTAGCTGAAAATTCAACTATTTCCCAATTGGACAGAATGCATTCCTTCAGGAACATTGTGTACATGTTGATTTTTCAAGACACCAGGAACAGAGTAATTAATTCAAGGAAAAAGAAAAAAAAAAAAGCAAACCATACATTCCCAGTTCAGATATTTCACCAGAAGGGAAGAGGACATGTTTTTATTATATCCTCCAATGACCACTCAGTGACCCAAGAAAAGCCAGAGTTCTCTTCATGCGACCTTTCTAGCAATTTAGGTGAACAGCCTCCCCCATCCCCTTTGAAACTTTTTACCCTGGATTTTCTAACGTGACACTCTTATCCCTTTTTTCTTTTAGGTTGCTTTTCAGTCCCAAATGTGTGTCAAATCTTGATCTTTCACTTGAGATCTAGATGTGAATACTACATTAACAGCTCACCTTGTGTCCAAAATCAATGTCATGTCTGCCTCCAAAACTGTTGTATTGCCACTTCTTATTTTTCCTAAGACATTCTCGGTCATATGGGATACAGACCTTGGAATCATTTTGTGCTGATCTCATATCCTTGTCCTGTATTATGTCATTTGATTTGGTTTTCATCACTTTTCTATTCCCACTGATGCCATCTTAATTTACAGTTTACAGCTAGCTTCCTAATATATATCTTGATATTTAGTCATTATCCTTGGTATTATCCTAGTATAATTCCAGAGTTATCATTTTAAGATATGTACCAACTATGTAGCAACTTTCTTCAAACCCATTAGTAGCTGATGAGGAAGAATGGTGGGCGGGGAATCAATGTATTACAGATAAGCAAAATGGGAAGGAAATAAAATTAATCAATAATCCCCACATCCAGATTATTAAATAACAGTTTAGCTTGCATATGCTTTAAATCTAGGGAAGGATTCTGTTACACACATCTTGTAAATCACATGTCTTTCATGTATCATGACCATATTTCAGTGACACTAACCATTTCCAAAGTATGATTTTACTAGCTATACAATAATATTGGATGATAAAACATGACTTTAAATTTGGGCTCATCTACACTTATAGTACAGTACAGCTTTCAGTGTAACCTATGGTTTAGTTCAGGAATCAGCAACTAATTCTTGCTTTGGTTTGCCCCACATTACTAATAATGGACATTAGTTTAAATCATTGACAAAATATTCTATGATAGGTGAAAATTATATGAAATTTAAATTTCAGTGTCTTAATAAATTTTATTTGAAGCACATCCAGATTCATGTAGTATTCATGGCTGCTTTTATTCTACACCAGTTAATTTGAGTAGTTTTAAAAGGATCAATAGTCCAGAAAATTTAAAATATTTTCTTTCTGGACTTTTACAGAAAGTATACCAACTCCTTGTAACTCCTTGTTTAGCCATACAAAACATAGCACTTAATGAATTTTTGTGCTGTGATACCTTTGTGTATTCAGCTTCTTTAGACTAGACTATCCCATCATTTTACTTATTCCAATGTCAGCTTTGTTTCATTTGTTTTTAAATTCTGTAGCCCTATGACTCAACAACACATTAACTAATTTGAGCAAGTTTATCCCCTGTAGATAAAAACATAAGAACTATGTCTTTCAGTCCTTCCATTTTCTGCATACCTTCTGTGTATAATACTCAACATTATTGATAAGCATTTAACAAAGAACTATTGATTATTTAAATTTTATCCAGACTGTAAAGTCAATTTCATCAAGTTTCCTAGAAAAACTTATTTTGAATTTCAAATAACAGACTTGGTAATGAATTATTAGAACATCATTCCTCAGCAAGTCAAGGCAGCATTTTTATCTAAATCCTGGATATTTGAGGGAGTCATGAGGAGAGTGCCATTCTTAAAGAGAATTGTTTAAGATCATCATCTCATTATCTTTTTGTATACAGGTATTCATCTGCAGCCCTCACATACTTTAAGAAAGTTATGCAGACTGGAAAGGGGATAGTTGAAAACATTCATGCTGAGGGAAGGGAGCATGTGAGAATTTGTGCTAGTTCTGCCCTGCTATCAAAGCTCAGTGTGTACAGTTTACTACCCATGCTTCTATTTTATATTGCTACCCCAGTTAAAGTTGCCCATGCATGTTTTCACTCCAGTATAAGGTGGCCACAGTCATTAATGATTATAGATATGCAGACTTATATACTTTTTAGTATTTGTGACATTTTTTTAAAGTACAGTGTAAAAGCACTTATACATTTTTGTGATAAACATTAAGAAAAATATCCAAGCACTGTTGGGAGTATAAATCAATAAAAACTGTTATGCTTTTGGATTATACATCAAAATTATTAGACAAGTAAATGTGAAAAGAGAAAAAATTCAGCTAGATAGAAATGAGAGATTAATCCCTTGAGTGATGATATCAGTATAAAACATTCATATTGAGCATTATCTTTGACATTTAATATTTATATATTGAAAATAAAAACATGAAATCCTGAATGATCGATTACCTTAAAAAGTATGAACTCTTATTCGTTAACATTTTAACAAAATTAACACTTTTGTGCTCATGTCTTTACATGTATTTATTCAAGATATTGGAAAGATTTTTATACCTCATTTTTTATGAAAAGAAACCTACTTAATAGATTTATCCTTTGTTGTAGGACAATAAATAGAATGAACACTTGGATATTGAACATACTTGTCATTTCATAATAAGATATAAACCAGCAATTATTTTTATTGCAGCAAGTTTTAGAAGTAATCACTGAGTATTTCAGTTTGGAAGAACTAGAATGAGAAAATAGCATAATAAGGATTTTAGTCTATTTTCATATAAAATGTAGTCATAAAGATCCTTTTACTCTGTAAATATATCAGCATCTAAATATCACATAACTTTGACCTTTTTAGCTTTAAAAATTCAGGCATTATAAAATTATAAAGCGTCATATTATTTTTGCTTTTATGCAGGTATATTTTTAACAATAATCAAAGGTTAACTTTATTGGTGTACATTTTGAAACTTTCAGATTTTTTTTTTTTAAGAACTAATCAAAAACCCCACAGGTCCTCTATTTCTAGTTCCAGTTTTTCCAACTCTATGGTTTAAAATACTTTATGGTTTCTTTTTTCATTAGCCATCATTCTTTCATTAACTTTATCTTCAGGGTGAGCTTATAATTGAGGAAAGGAAATGCCAACAAGTTTATCTGTAAGTGACATACCTATCTTTTTTGCCATCGGTATAGTGAAAGGTGGCATGAATTAAGCAGCTACCAAAGCTTGGTGTTCTACTGAGGTTTATTGCTGGCATTCTTCATGGAGATGGTTACCCCTTCAGCACTTTAGTTATAACTTATCTTGAAAAATAAAAGAAGTATCCTGATAATCAGCATGATTTGATAATTTCTTAAATACAGGTATACTAATTATTCTTCTTGTGTTGTATAACTTTATAAATAACACTACAATGTAAATAATTATGTAATTACTAATATTGATGTAACTATTTTTGTACTTTAAAAACAATGTATAAATATATTTTATGCCTTATAATAAAATGCATATTTTAAAATGTGTTTAGTTTTAGCACAATACAAGAATCATAAAATACTAGCACTGGAAAAAATTTGGAAATCATTCAAAACAAGCAT